TATTCAAACGGGCCCTAGTTACGATGTAATATTATTCGTGACGCAAATTTATTCCTCAACGAAATTATTACACGTAAACTAATTAAGAGCAAGACGCGAACTGATTTTTTGATTAAGCGACCTCGTTGTAGTAAAAATAGGATCAACGGATTAAGAAATGCACGTCGTAATTTTATGCATAAATACTTAAAGCAGAAATCGCATAGAAACCGAACACTTACATTAAATTCATTATTTTACTTGTCCGACCTCGAACCCTGATACCATCACCGAAATTAAAAATTTCCGACTCGACCCAGAATATTAACGTACGTATAATGGAGGTTCTCTACACTCACCAAAAAGCACAACAGCGTTAGCAAGGTAACGCTGTTGTGCTTTTTGGTGAGTGTAGAGAACATCCATTATACGGACTAGCATGGCATTTACACGTTTAGAAGTTATAACTTTAATTATTGCTTAAAAATACATAATATTATTAAAATTAGAAAGAATGTCTTACACCATTATATGTTTGTTTTGTAATTGCGTTCTCGAAAATGACTTTAAAGATTAACAATATAGGGGTATTACGGAGGTGATTAACCGATATACCTAGGTTTCAGTCCTGTGAAAATTTATTTAATCCGTCTTTTCATCTACAAAGTAACAGACTTGATTTTGCCTCCGTAATATGATTGGCAATTTCGTCACAAAGATCATTTTTTTAATAGCTGTCCATAATAACTAAAACGTAGATCTAACGCACCGGAGTGCTCGAGGTTTTTTTTCCAATTGTATTTATTGTTATTTAATCGTCTAGCCCACACTGCTACAAAGTTGGGCAAAAATAAATTATTGAGACTAATAAACTATTTTGATTGCGGAGTAAGTACTAAAACGTAGATCTAACGCACCGGAGTGCTCGAGGTTTTTTTTCCCCCAATTTTATTTATTGTTATTTAATGGTCTAGCCCACACTGCCACAAAGCTGGGCAAAAATTAATTATTAGAGACTAATAAAATATTTTGATTTCGGATTAAATACATTTTTTGCATAGTGCAGTCAAATTTTATACGATATGCGTATGTCAAGCTTTGGTTGAAAAATGTTTGATGACATTACTCATTGTTTTATCAAAATACAATCCTAACTGTTTAATATTTTTTTAATAATTATAATAAAAATAAATAAACACATACTTTACATGTACTTTTTTGTTGGTAACTGGTTTCTCAAAAATGGCGCTAGCAATTTATTTGAAATTTCACAATATTTTACTTTATAAGCACTTTTCAGATAAGTGTAAAATGCGTTATACAATTATATTTTATCTAACGCCGTACAAAACTCGATCGTGCAGGCACCTAAAATAAAAAAATAAAAACAATATGTTTTAGTAATTGGTTTCTGGGGAACGTATTTACCGATTTGGATGAAATGTTGTATTTAGATAATGTTAACTTTCCAAGTTTAACTTAAGTGTCACCCAATTAGAAAATTATGTTTTTTTTAAAGCCCAACAAAGTTCGACCACTCAGGTACTATTTACTAATCTGAGCAGGGGTTATTTTCACGAATGTTTTCCTTAATATTGTAATAACCTTTTTTGTTTTTAAACTTGATAGACAAACATTGAACATTTTCAGAAATTTTGTTGTAAAAGCGTTAACATTGCCCCGTAAATTAAAGACTAAATAAATCTGTGAAGTTTAGTAACTGACATTATAAGCTTATGTTTGTTCCTAGTATTAATATATTAAATATGAATATCTTTGATGTTTATTGTACAAACATTACATTTTCATAAACATTTTGCGAGGTTTACGTTAACATATGTTACGTTAATTATAAATACGTTAATATAAGTAGAATTTTAACAGTGGTAGAGTGGTACCAGTCTGTCGTGTGTTTGCACGGGTGGGCCGGCTCCGTGCAAACATACGACGAACCCGGGTGGTACCACGACCTCACGAAATACTAGCTTGAAGTAGAGGTTTATTCTGCGTTTCGTTTGGTAAGTGCAGGTGGCTGGAGCAGCGGAATCAATTAAAAACCTACCCCAGGAGAGTACCAGGCTATCCTGATCTTCCTGAGCGTGGGTGTTCAGGCCGCATTTTGGGGAGGGCGCAATTCTGCTCGCGACTAAAATTGCTTGAGGCAAGTGGAGCGATAAGACCAAAGTGACCCCTGTCACGCTGTCCGTGAATTTTTGCTACATCAGGGGGCTTCACTCCAACCTTAACGCTGTCCACTACCATCTGGAGACTGCGAAGCCGCCCTTGCTCTTTTTAATCGAGACTCAGGTGTCCTCTGCAGCTGATAATTAGTATCTCTCCTACAGGGGTACAAATTATAACGCTCCTTTATGCCCCGGCCTGGAGTTGGTTTATACGAAAATGTGTAAGATAAGACATCAATGTTCGATGCCTCGGCAGTCTTGAAGGTACGGAAATATCAATCCTATGGCTGCGTGTAGACAACGATGATCATCACCGCATCAATGGGTGCCTTTGTAGGTCCCATAGCGGTCATGCCGACACAGACCGACTCATACCATCGACCGACACGAGCTGAGCAGTCAGAGGTCCGCTCCCCCCGACTCCCCCCTCGGACAGTGGTTAGATAGCTCAATAACGCCTAAAAAGGCGACATGATGATTGGTAACAATACCAAACCATAAACCATTTCATCATCATCGTCACGTTCATTACCTTTCCCTTTTTTAATTAGCTTATATATTATTAATATAGCACTGAGTCAGATACAGTTGAAAGAGTCGCATAGACTAGCAGCGAAAACATCCCGAAAATACCGACGGTGGAGCGACTCATCGACCACGTCCAAATGGCTACAGACTCCGTGCTACAGCAGATCAAATCCGCAGAGATCGTGATTCTTGACGATTTTAACGCCGAATAGCTCAGTTCACGTTTAAACGATCATGTGGTAAGATCTGTATATGACTTTGCCCAGGCATATAGTCTGATACAACTGGTTACTTTCACCTATACGGATTCCAGATGTGGAAGATCATACACCTTCCCTGTTGAACCAGACTGATGTCTGTCGACGCCCCTCTGGGCTCGTTGGACCATTGTCTTGGTAGGAGTGTGGTGCCAGTCACAATTAACATCACGGTTGCATTCTGCAGGCTGCCGCCGTGTTTGGCATTATAAGTTGGCCGATTGGAATAGGATGCGGTCTTGTTTTGCATCCTACCCTTGGGGGCTGCTTGTTGGTTTGCAGACAACACAACGCTGCGAACACAGCGACAACGCTGTGATCGTATCTCGCTGTGATCACAGCGTTGTCGCGGATCCCGTCTCTGATGTGATACTTCAAGGTATGCAACTTTTTATTCCATCCTCTGTGGGGCTCATTGGAAGCAGATCCCAGCCATGGTATGGTTGCTCCTGCAAAATAGCATCACGCTATAAGCAGGAGTGCTACCGGACCTGGGCTGAGGCATCAACGTCTCGGGATGTAAATGAAACAAACCCGCTTCAAGGGTAGGATGCAAAGAATATCCCATTCGGCTGACCTATAGTGCCAAACACGGTGGCATCCCGCAGAATGCGACCGCGATTTCGGCATGAGTGGTATCACACTCTAGACAAGACAATGGTCGCCTAAAACGGCGTCGACGGAAATCTGATATACGTCTGGATGAGAGTTCAGCAGAAGGTCCAACACGGAAGGTGTATAATCCTCCACATCTAGAATCCACGTAGGCGAAGTAACCAGTTGTGTCAGACCATATGCCAAGGCAAAAATCATCAACAGATCTCCCCGCATGATCGGTTAAACGTGAACCAAACCATTCGGCGTGGTGGGCGTTAAAATTGTCGAGGATCACGATCTCTGCGGAGGGGATCTACCGTAGCAATGAATCTGTAGCCATTTTGATGTGGTCTAAGAGTTGGTCTGTTTCGGCATTACCGCTATGGGACCTATAAAGGCACCAGTAGATGTGCGGATGATGATCGCTGTCAACGTGCAGCCAAAAGATGGGCTGGTCCGAACCTTCAAGACTGCCGAGGCGTCGAGAACAGATGTCCTCTCTCACGTACACGCAAACTTCAGCCAGAGCCACAAAGAAGTGCTCCAGTTTGTAGAGGAGAGGACACCTGCGTCTCGTTCAGAAAGAACAGAGCCGGCCTCGTCGTCTCGAGATGGTAGTAGACGGTGTTTAGGTTAGAATGAAGTCCCCTGCTATTGCAGAAATTCGTGGATAGCGTGGCAGAACAGTTGTTGTCTTTAGCGGAATTTTGCCCTCACCCCCCCCAGAATACGTGGGGTAGCCTGAATACCCACGTAAAGGTCTACCTGACTCATAGATGGGCGGAGCCAGTAGATTCAAAAGCTTTTCAAATAACGTTGTTTAGAGAACCGTGACGAGGACAACCTACCAATAATACAAATAACCTTGTTACAGAACCATATTATATCAAAGTCCATGGGCACTGATGAGGTGGACAGATTCAGACAAACGTCGCCTCTAGTCTAATTCCTACGGCTATGCGTAAATTTTACCCATCTAGTAATATGTCAAATTTACTACTGACTAGATTCCTTAGATGAAACAGCTAGAAGGCGGGCCTGATCTTGTTCACACTATAAATTTTTTTTGATGTTTCTACTTCATGGCAATCTGCTTTCCAGAAATAAGCCACTTGTTTGTTTGATTTCTCAGTTTTATGTTTTCCTCAAGAGCCATACTTGAATTAAACTTTTCACAAGACTCTCTTGATATCAAGTGGTAAATCTTTTATGTAGGCTCGGTACGTCACTTCTTTTTAACCGAGTATGCTGAAGAGCGCCTTCTCCGCTCAGAGCGTGTGCCAGTTTGTTTACATGGGCGGTCGGTTTCTCCTGGTATTTCAGGCTGTTTTGAGCTATTTCCTGTCGAACCGTTTTTAGGCCGAGGTCGAGGTATATGTATCTATTACTTATACAATGAGGGACGCCAAACATTGTTCTCAGAGCTTTGGTCTTGAATCTCTCCAAGATATCTATATTATTGTTGCTGGCTGTTCCCCACAGTTGTATCCCGTAAGTCCAGATTGGTTTTGTATACTAGCATCTTGCTGTTAGGATTTAGTTGTGATTTGCATCCCAGTAACCAGTTTAGTGTCCGCAGTTTTCCATCTAGTTGTTTGCGCTTTGTCCAAATATGTTTTTTCCATGTAAGTTTTCTGTTTAGGTGCATGCCCAAGTATTTTGCGTTATTTTCTTGAGGTATAACTTTGTAGTTTAGCGTTACCGGTGGACATGTTTCTTTCCTAAGAGTAAACGTTACATGTATCGATTTGCTCTCATTGGCTTTTATTCTCCAATGCTTCAGCCAACTCTCAACTTCTGTCAAGTGGTTTTGCTGTTGTGATGATGCCGTTTCTGGGTTGCTATGAGCCGACAGAAGCGCCGTATCATCAGCGTATGTCGCAGTCGTGGTGTAGTCAGTTGTTGGGATATCTGGTGTAAAAATGAGGTATAGTATAGGGCCCAATATACTGCCCTGAAGGACACCTGATTTTAATTCCTGTACTTCTGAGAGATCATCGCCGTACTTCACTTGGTAGCATCTTTTATCTAAGTAGGATTTCAATATTAGAAATAGACAATGTGGGAGATGCTTCTTTAGCTTGAACAGGAGGCCGTTATGCCATACCTTATTAAACGCTTGGCTGATATCCAAAAAGACTGCAGAGCAGTATAATTTGTTTTCAAGGCATCTGCTGATGGTGTCAACTATACGGTGTACCTGTTCATTTGTCCCGTGTTTTTCCCGGAATCCAAATTGGTGGTTAGGTAATACTGTACTTAGATGTTATTTCATCCTGTTAATCAGTATCCTCTCAAACAGTTTGCCAATAACTGGTAGCAGGCTGATAGGTCTGTATGAAGTAGCTTCGTGTGGGGGTTTACCGGGTTTCGGCACCGTGACTATATGTGCAATTTTCCATTGCCCAGGGAAATGTGGAAATGTGGAAGTCTTAAGCTAGCATTAAAGATGTTAACTAATTTCATTATACCTTTATGAGGCAGGTTTTTAAGTAATGTTTCAACAATCAGGTCATAGCCGGGTGTTTTACCATCCTTGAGGTTCCTTATTTCTTTCACAATTTCTTTTGGGCTGGTACTTTTTAGTGGTAAATACATTTGATTCGCTGATTCGAGGTATTCTTTGATTTCCATAGTGTGTTCGGGATTGTTTTCAGGGAGTGGTTGGAAAATTGTTTTCAGATATTCCGCAAAGATTGTTGCCTTTTCATTATTTGATCTTGCCCATTCTCCTTTTTCATCATTGATAGGTGATATATGGTTTTTCGGGCGCTTTAGATTTTTGATAGCCTTCCATAGTGAGTAGTTTGTATCTCTAGTTGGATCTAGATTTGAGAGATAGTGTTGAATATTATCATTTTCTAGGGTGCTGATAAGAGCTTTGAGTTCATTTGAGTATATATTAAATGCAGTTTTATCACTTGGATATCCCGTAGTATGCCAGATTTTTCTCAAACGTCGGCGCTCTTGTATTTTCTCCTTAATATCTTTTGGATATGAGTTATGTTTCAGAGGTTGTCCATTACCTATCTTTTTGGAGTTGCAGAATTGGCAGCAATGTGAATAGTCATATTAAATTGTTCCAGTTATCTTCCAAGTTCTTCTATTGTATTAATTTTGGTCTTTAGTTCTGTCTCTGTTGTGATTATATTTTTATAGATTGTCCAGTGTGTAGTGTTCGAGTTGTATATCCTTAGGGGCGGTGCTACCAGATTAACTGTTGTAGTAACATTCAGTATAACTGGTGTGTGATCAGATGTGAGTTCTATTCGAGGTTCTATGTTTAAATAGTTACTATCTATGTTTTTAACAATAAAATGTCCAATAATTCTGGGATTATTTGTCTGTTGGTAGGCCAATAAGTAGGTAATCTGCCGGAGTGAGATTATAATTTCATCTCTACTGTGGCTTTACAAAATTGCCTTCCTCTAGTATTGTTCAGCCTAGATCTCCAATTTAAATGTTTGGAATTCCAGTCGCCAGCACATATAAATCTGTTTACCCAGTGTAGAAAAATATTTCGCGAAGTTCGTTGGCAGATATAGTATGTTTTGGAGGACAATACACAGCGGAGAATGTAGTTTCTAGTTTGCTGTCTACAAGTTTAATAGATGTTGCTTGTATTTTTTTTTGTTCGGTATTCCTCTATGGGGTAGTGTTTAATATTATTTTTAATAATTACTGCTGTTCCTCCATGGCTGTTCCCAGTCGGATGATTGGGTGTATATACTTTATAATTATTAAAGTTTATGTGTGTTTTCAGTATGAATCTTGTTTCAGAGATTAGTGCTATGTCAATCATCTCTGTTCTGAGAAAAGTTTCTAATTCTTGACGTCTTTCCGTCAAGCCGTTGGCGTTCCAAGTAACTACTTGGAGGTTTCGGGTCATTTTTTCACCAGGATACTGACTAGCTGGACCATGCGGTCCATCATTTTGTCCATGATTTTTTCCATCATTGTCACCATTTAATTTTGTAGTTTTTCAAACATTACATCCATTAAATCAGAAAAGTCGGCCAAGTCGTTCTTTGTGTTTTGCTGAATATATTGTTCTTTGGTTTTTGTTGCTTTTTAGTTTTGTTGCTTGCTAGTTTAGTCTTAGTGCCCAGGTGGGGATCCGGGATTTGGTCTCTATATTGTTAAGCATTGGTTTTCCTTTTGACTTAGAATCTAATTTAAGAATTCTTTCTCTATACCGTTTGTACACTTTGCATCCTTTGTAGCTAGCGCGGTGTTTTTCATCACAGTTCGCGCAAGTAGCCTCAGTGTCTGGGTTTTTGGTACATGTTGTTGTAGGGTGAGCGCTACCGCATATAACACAGCGATAGGGCCTAAAACATTGAGTCTTGGAATGGCCAAATCTCTGACATCTCTTGCACTGAATGATTTCCTTTTTCTTATATGGGGCTTCGAAGGTAATCTTCATGTTATTCAAGTATTTCAAATCGAAAATGGCTTTGTTGTTTGGCTTTGGTTCTAAATCGACATAAAATACAGGCAACAGTTCCTTTGTATCTCGATGTCTGATATTGTCTCACTTCATGTCCAATTTCATACAATTCTTTTGAAATTTCTGTGGTATTTTCTAATGCATGGAGTCCGCGTAGTACTACTCTGTATGCTCTCTCGCTTTTAAACTGGTAAGTACAATGTGAGATATTATTGGCAATGAAGTTCTCTCGAATCATTTTGTATGTCTGGATGTCTTTAGGTATAATTTTTATAACGTGTCCAGATCTAAGTGTGGTCATGAGGTAAAGTTTGCTGTTTAGAAATTTGTTAAGTACATCCTTAAGAGAATTTACATTAATTACGCCAGTAACAAAGATGGGTTCTGGCTTTGGTACATATACCTTGTCTGTATTGTTGGTTCTATTCGTAGGCTCCGTATCAAGTAGTTCAAAACTATTGCGTGTAGGGATCACAAAGTCTGGGGAATTTTTCTGTTTTTTATTCCCGTCGTTGTGAATTGGACTTGTATCTTTCCTTTTCTTTCTCCTGGTGGGAATTTCATCCCTTTGCCATTCGTCTGAGGTTAAGTTATCACTATCAAATTGGGTCTCGGTCTGTGAATCCAGATTGTCTTTCTCCTTGTTATGTTGGTTGGAGTTATAGTCATTAAGCTTTGCTGGCAGAGACGATGTCGAGTTGATTTTGTTCCGAATAAATATGCTTTCATGGATCATGCTATTAGGGTTGGTTGGGTTTTTAGAATTTGGTAAGGTTTGTTGATTTTTGGTAATTAATTGGTTCATTTTAGTCCCACAAGTAAGGCCGATATAACAGGTCGCTAGGAAGGTGACCCTTTTCTTAGGAGTGATTTTTATGGTTCATTTTAGTCCCACGAGTAAGACCGATATAACAGGTCGCTAGGAAGGTGACGCCTATTCTCCCTAGAAGGCTAATACAACGACGTTTGCCAGGTCCGTCGAAGTGGATCGTTTGCGACTGGTCTCCCATCAGTCAGCCATGCAGTCTCTTGGCACGAATCTCACCGTAGACTTAGGGTGATTTTTTATAGAAGTTGTCTTTTTCATAGTCCGGGCAATTAAGCCAAGACTACCGATCCTGCGAGCAGCGTTAACAGAGTTGCGGTTTGTGGGAGTCATTTCCTCACTGTTAGACCAAGCTGGTTAGGCTGGTTTGGTCCGGTTAATTAACCGTCGCCCGACACCCGGCGTTGTTATTCATTTAGCACCACCCAGGGGGCATGTGTAGGGTAGTGGTTAGGTAGTTCCTACGGACGCGAATAACTATACCCCCCTACACCCACACTATAGATTATGAAACAAATATTTGTAACGGAATATCCTACTGTTTTTGTTGGAAAATTTGTGATAGGATAAAGTGTTTGCCATGTGTTATTTGCTTCCGGAGCAAAGCATAGATCTATATTTTATTTAAAATGTTGTTATATGTGTCACTGACACTATACGGAAGCAAAAAAGTGCCTAATGCAATGCTAGAAAGATTTATTACACCGATACCTAAAAAAATTACATGTAAAGTAGCTCAATAGGAAGGATACGAAAGGAAAGCATAAAACTACATAATTTTGTACTGTCATTGAGAAGTAGATACTCTGCCGGCAACACCAATAGCGCCTTTACAAGATCTTTAAGATGTGTAGGAGTAATTTTGTAATACCACCAGTCATTTTGAAAATGACAAAATTGCTTCCAAATTGTCAATTTCAGAAGTTTGTAAAGGTTGCATAGAATTTGTCGGAAGGCTGCGGTAAAATTTGGAAATAATGAGAGCTAAAAATCTTTCGCTCACCAGACGTCACTAGTTCATATTGTTACACAATATCATTTAATTCAGAAGTTAGTTTTAAATAAAACTTTATTAGTTTCTAGAGTATTACATTAATATGCAAAAGCATGTCTCAGTTGCTTGCTCTTTAATTTGTTGCACTTTTTAACGCTTTTTAAAATTTTCGAACTTTTATGAATATCTGTGGAGTAGTTTATTTATGTTCAATGCAAATTTTATGAAATATAACTAATATTAGAGAAAGGAATATTAACTCCAACATTTTCATCATGAAATCTGTCTAATATTACACGGCTTTTTATACGTGGTAGAGCCATGTTGCAGTTATATTAGTAGTATAATTGTAGCACGAATGTGTCGGCTCGACCGGGGAAGGACCACGCTCTCGTAGAATACCAGCGTGAAATAGTAGCTTAATGCTGCTGTGTTTCGTATGGAGCGTGTAGAGAACCGGAGACCCTTTTTACTGGAAACGAGGCATTCTATCTTAGTATTCACGGGTAACAAAGCATCTGCATTTTGATTCGTAATCGAGAATAGATGTAGATGTCTATGGGCCACAGCAACCACTTACCATCAGGTGGACTGTGTGCACGTTTGTTACCCTATTCTATAAAAAGAAGTGATTATTGACCGAAAGATGCTTCTGAAGGCCTCCAAGAGAATCCTCGTAACGTCGAGAACATTACTAGTATTCAGGATGTCGTCTGAGAATAAAATACGGGATGCATTTTTAAGCCACCATCAATTACCTTCGACTCAACTACTTTTTAAATCAAATTCGGTACAAGGTATCTTGAGACGTAATTAATTTATTGTTTCATGAAAATGAAAATGGATATTATACGCGAAAATAATTTTACCAACCCTTTTCACAGTTTAAATTTTGAATTTTAAATAGTGTATGACAATTCTTTGGCTACTTGCATCGTCTCACCTGTGATATAATGATGATAATTTTAATTTTGTTCCGAAAAAAATTAAAAATGTATATCAAGAGAGACATTACTAATAGAATTATAAATCGATACGACAGACTGTGAAGCCATTTCGACTTTTACTATGACTTTGTTTCATATGTATATTTAATTCGTTTAACTTTAAACAGCCCACCGTCGGTACAATTTTAACACTGTAGGAAATCCGGCTGTGAATGTACAGGAGTAACGATAATCGTTGAAATATATAAACAGTAGTACTTACATAAACAATGGTTATTATTAAAATAGCAGCTTAATGCTGCTGTATTTCGTATGGTGAGTGTAGAAAACTAGGTACCATTTTTTCTGGAAGCGAGGCATTCCATCTTAGTCCTTAGGGCTACCAACGCATCGGCGTTTTATATAAACAATGTACTATGTATTAGAAAATATCTTTTCAGTTTTTGATCCAACACGAAGGAATGAAACAAAAGAGCATATAAATGTCCGAAGACAAATATTTGCTATCCATATTGAATGTGAAATTGAAATCTCAACACTTGCAACCACTGAAGCGTAAAATTATCTCCCTCTGGGTATCAAGCTACTGCCTCGTACAATGTCTCCACATATATTCTTCAGAAAATAAAGATAGCAACTATCGACTTTATTTATGGTAGCAAATATAAAACTTTTAATACACGACCTGCAATGCTTCTCAAAGTCCATAAATATCAGAAGAAATAATGAATAAATAAGATTCATGTATATCCACTACCCCAAATCATCTCATGAGCGTCGTAAGAGACGAGAGAGGGAAACAAACCTGTATATTAGCAGCAGCGTTTCCCTAATAACGACTAAAATAAAAAAAATCTGCGGTTGCCAACCCGCTTGCCTAGCTTAGCAACTATGGCAAATATCAGCTAAAAGCCTATCTATAGAGGGAGCCTATGTAACGGTAAGATCAGGTTATGTGGCTCGCCCAGAGAGAGATGTCTGTTCTATGAAGGTAAGGAACTGTTATACAAGCAATGACGATGAAAAAGAACTTGAAATAAAAGTAAGTTGGAATAAAACACTTTTGCCAGACTTACTTAGCTCTATGCTCAATAACTTATTCGGCCCTTTATTTTAAACTGAAGATGAACATGTACTAGGATAAGATCACGTTAAACGTACATATTCCACACCACGCTTGAAGTTTTTGCACCAAGGACGCGTTGTTTATATAGTAACCTACTTCAACATTTCAAACCAAATCGGCTGCCTAGTATTTCTTTAGGTTGGGTTTTTCCATTCCTCAAAGGGGATGATGCGCGTTGGACTCCATCCAGATCACTACTTCTAGTCCGGTCCTCTCGTAGAAATTCACCAACCTACCAACGTCATGAGGGGGAGAAGTGTCTTCCTCCATCATGTAGACCGAGCGACGACTAATGTTACCTCCTGTGTATTTTGTATTGCTACGGCATACGTGTCTCTGGAACAGAAATCTGTTAATGATTTCGCACAGATATCTTTAGTAGTATAAATACAGTAACGCATCCGAAACGCGATTTTTTATTGCTAGTCGTATGCGGAATTTTAAAGTCGCCCAGGACGGCGCTATGTTTAGTGTTTCTCTAAGAAATTTGTTACAAGGTATAGAGGTTATGGCTGACACAACTCAAGTTTTCAAGGCAAAAAGAGTACGCTTTTGTTAAGCTAAATCTGTTCGTTTTGCTATCTTCGGCTGCATCATAGGGTATGTTTTCCGCTTACCAGATGTCGCTTACTATGGTAAATTTTTTGTCAGACAATGCCATTTAATTGAGAAATTAGTTTTAAATACATGTTATCAGTTTCAAGCGTTATATTAATACATAAAACAATGTCTCAGTGGTGTGTTCTCTAATGTTTTGTACATTTTAACTCCTTTTTTTATTTTTTCTACTTTTTTTCTACGTTTCACCTGATCTAAAGTGACGCTGCTCTTGTGGCAGCAAAAAAAGTTGTGAATGACCTTACCCCCCAGGCATCGTCCTAATTAGCTATCGATCGTACGATTAAACGATGCGATTTCATCGCACGATGAAAGAGATCGTGCGATGATCATCGCGTGACGACACGATGCCGGCAACGGCGGCATTTCTACAATGGCTATTTACTGAGATTCACAGTTTTTTTTAACTCTCTTAGGTCTCTTAGATCTTTACTCGTCTCTAATTCGACTCACTGGTGCCCTTGACGTGATGACGCGATACCAATTAAGACACACAAAAGAGATTAGTAGCATTTTAAGCATTTCTTGTGCTTACGCGATCATTTGCAAGCTTCAATTATGGTACTCTAAAGAAATGTGTGTGTTTAATCTCGTCTTGCGATGCAATCGCATTGTTTGCTCATATGTTCGTAGCCAATTAGGACAAGCCTCAGTATGGCAATCGACCGATCCTATGTATCGAAGAACAGACGACCGATGGATAAAAAAGTTCTCGAGTGCAATAAGTAAGACCAACATCGATTGAATGCTCGTTAATTTAACGCTGGATTTATGATAGTTTTGAAACGATGAAAATGATGATAACATGAGTTTATTAATATCTGGGAATATTGAAGAATTGACAATATAATATAATAGAATTTGTAAAATGATGTCTATATTAAACGAAATCACTAACGTACTAACCGCTGAGATGGAAAATCGGATGCTACAGGGCATAAAGTAACTCTGACGTGCATACGGTGCACATGACTTATTGTGAGGAATATAAAAGAAAATTGGTTTGCTTTATCCGGGAAAATTCTTGAAACAGTATGATATAACATTTTTATTTCATGTTTTATCAGCTAGTTAAGAAAATGGTTTATAAAGAGACGCGGTAGTTCACGTTTCCGTCTTGAATATTATGACACTTAGTTTCATACAACAAAAATTGTTTACTGTACTTGGTCCTAAATTAATAGGTTTTCTACTGAAATTATAAAGGTTGTGAGGAAGTCTTTCTGGTTTTTTGGTTTAGTCTAATGGCAAAACTTTCTGTGGCTAGTTTCTTTCAGTTTATACCAGATATTCA